CCTTCCCCAGCAGACGACACTGACTCGGACCGCCTGCGGTCTCCCAGTAGGAGGCAAACAGTCTCAGTCGACGCCCCCCCCCCCCCTCCCCCCCCACGACACTACCTCTGCCTCCCGCCACGTTTTCCCCTCGTCACATCTGCTCCTCGCGCGCAGCGGCAGCTGGGAGGTGTCACACGCCTGCCGTTTTCCCTGGTGTCGGCAGATGGTGCTGCACAATTAGGCCCCAGCACCCCCCATCCGTCTCCCGTAACCGCGGGCACAGCCCGGCAACACCGATATCCCTCCCGGTCCCGGCCTGTGCTCGGTTAGCATAAATCGCAGCGCAAATCCTTTTCTAAAGGACAAAAGAACATGTCTTTTTTAACCCCTATTCTTGTACTGGGAAGAAAAAAAAACGTCGGTGGGGGAAAACATTAGCAGAGGCTCTGGGAAGGAACGTGGAGGCGGATAATTCGACAGCGCTCCTCCGCAGACAGGGCCGGGTGAATAGAAGAGCTCACTGCAAGCGGGCACGTGTGCGGACGGCTAAGTGAGCAAGCTCCGCCCACTTTTTTCTCCTTGTTTCTCTCCTTCTTTGCTCAGAAAGGCCCGATTTCACTGTGTAAACAGGCACGGCCGACGCACGGCCCCTTTGTTCCACTGCATGACATCACCCCGCCCGGGCCTTTGGTACCCCCACCTCGGCCCGATCGCACCTGCTTGCCAGGCCATCTCTCTCGGCGTTTGGACGCACCGCTCGGCGGAGTGAAGCGCCGCGATGGTCACGGCCGGGACAGACCCACTGTCTGCCAAGCCCCGACATGATGGTGACCGGCATTTTCCGCACTGTTACGCTTAGCTGAGAGGTACGGCAGGCCACTGACTCGCATACAGGGCTCAGAGGAAATCTTCTCACTTTCTGCTATTTGTCCAATTATTATTACAACCATTATTATCATTATATAATTATACCATATTATATCATTATATTACTATATAATAATAACAATGATGCATCTATGTGCTGTAATTGACTGGTACCCCATCCAGCTCTGTTCCCTATGCAACCTGGAATAGGTATGACCCCCCTCCCCCCCCACGACCAAGAGTATGAGGTGGACAGATAAAAATGATATAAAATAATAATGCACCCATCCTGCATGTCTTTTCATCCAGTAAAGCAATTCTGTGAGCCTAGACTCTCAATACAGGATGGTAATAGTAGCAATAATAATAAACAACATTAAATAATATCCTCAGCATGACGTTGTGTGGGGTGGGACACAAAGCCGCTCCCCACGCCAAGATCTCCCCCCCCCCAAAGCATCCCGAGACCTGCAGGCCCCTTATCCGACAGACGGAAGGCATTCCATGTCACACGGCTGTGATTTCCAATTAGAAGGCGGGTTGAAAGGTCACCGTCGGTCATGCTCCGCGTCAGCTGAGTGTGACTGCAGTAGCCGGACAGCCGGAGCGGGCCGGAGCCAGGTACCGGCTGTCCGGGAGACGGCGTCCACACCGGCGCTGAAGCGCAGGGCTCACCACTCAGAATTACATTCATGCCGGTGAATTTAAAGCGCCCCATTAAGAGAAATGAATCTACAATACGCTCATTAGAAGATGGTAATTGCTTGAAAATCGCCCACGTCTTTTGTCTTCCTGATCGCACGCTGACGATCCACTCAGAAAGAAGAACCTGGGGAAGGCGGCCCAGCGCCGTGAGAGCGTGCAAACTCCTACATGCCGGTGCAGAAGGAGAACGTGCAACAGATATGCAACGGCACAAGCCAATCACCTCAGTCCCAAAATAAATATCCCTGTATAAGCCATCATCACCATTTACCCAGTTCATTTTAGAAGGCATTTCAATAACAAAAATACACACTATTGAAATCTCTGAGCAATTAATTCCCAATATGCAATATGTGACCCGCAAGCAACATATATTATATTTTAAAAGTATCATAAAAATTAAACACGGGAAAACCAAGATCGGGCTCGTAGCTGAAGCGGAAATGGCGGCACAGAAAGTTCCAGCTTGTTAGACAGATCTCAGCTGCTTAAAACGCTGATGTGCATCTTATTGTTACCTGACAGAAACGGCAGACACATCTCCCAGTGCGACAAGCGTGGCCTCGTCACAAACAATGAAGTGATGCGTTGGAAAATCATCACTGCTAACAAAACATCTTATGTTAATTAAAATAATCAGAGCTAAACTATCTGCAATTAACAGTAGATGTATTTTTAAAACAAAATCACTGCTAATATGAAAAAATATAACACAAAAAAGACACCTATTAGAACACTTAATCTGATACTTAAGCAATAGTATGTCCTCATTAAATATTCATCAGCTGGCATTTAAAACATCCTAACAGCCGTGTTTTAATTATACAAACCACAAGCAGACAGGGGCCATGCGTGGATTCTAGAGCCTATTCTCAGAAACCCCAAACAGGTGCTTGTCTACAAGATACTGCCAGGCATTCTGTGCGTAAGACGCTGCACATTTGATCGTTTTTGGCCGAGCAGGAAACATGGAGTCCAACTCAAACGAACATCCCCGGGAAAGACGCAGCGTTCAGTTAGGCTACCTCTGGAAATTGTCAATACGGGCCTTCCTCATTGGGGGATGGCAGTCAATATATTGATGAAGCCATTCATCACTTCAGCTCTACAAGACATTATTTCTAATTAAAAAGTAAGCCATAAATTCCACATTTCATTGCCAGGGTAGAGTGTTAAATACATCTGCGACATGGCTGAGATCATGTCTAGTCAACTAGAGTAGTGGCATAAAGAGTAAAATGCATGTGTTTATCACACAAACACACACACAGATTTGTAATTATATCTTTGTGGGGACTCTCCATTCATTTTTATGGGGAAAACTCTAATGCCAACATGGCGACCCTAACGCAGCCCAAACCTTAACCATAAGTAACTGAACAAAATACGAGACTTTTGGCTTCATTCTTTTTTTTATTGCATTCACAGATCTGTGTCTTTGTGGTCCCCACAAAGTAATACAAACCTAATCCACACACACATATTTATATGTGCATGTATATGTGTGTGTGTGTGTATGTGTGTATATTTAAATATATATATATAAAATTATTTGCTGTACATATATACACACATATACACAATTCAGCTTATATATGCATTATATATATACACACACGTATATGTATACAAGTAAAATACAGGTGGCAAAAATACAAGAGGATAAATAAATCCTCTTCCCTGAGAGCTGGGAGGCAGCAGAAACGTGAACTGGGGGGTCCCGAGGAATGGTATGAGAAACACTGGCCTAGGGCCTCGACAAGCATCACGGCCTCGTCCTGCCTTGGGAGAACTGGGACGGCAAGTTAATCAGTTATATGGGTGACACCTGAATGTCTATGCTGATGCCAGGCTAGCGCCCCCTGCCTGACGCGCGTGAGCCTTACATCAGACAGCCTGCCGGACGGCCCTTTGAACACCGCGAATCACGCGTGAGAGCCGCGCGATCGCCGAATGCGGCCGGTCACCCCAGCACTGCGGCCTCGAGGAAGACCCACGCAAACCGGACAGGTAGGGGCCATTAAGATTATACTGTCCGACAGCATTAAGACCCAGGTCACAAAGGAACGCGATGTGCCCAGCAGCTCTGCACAACAGACGGGGGGAAAGAAAAAAATAAAAAATAAAGGATCATGTAGCTGAAATCAAAGGGTAAGCGATCCGCTCGGTGAGATTTGCTTTGGAGCCGTTGTTAAAATCATCACCTCAAGCTGCTTCATAGCCACAGCTGTGCCACAAGCTGCTTAGAAATACAGTTCTTTTTTAATCCTTACTTTTTGTGAGTGTTGGCTCTGTGATTTACGTGGCCAGGTGGTGAGGTCAGGGTAACGGGGTCACTTCAGAGCGATGCGCGAGGAACCCAAAGCTAACATCAGTGTGGAAAAGTGGGCTGCGTGCATCGTGATCATCAGAGGGGGGAGCAAATCCCACGCAATCTTTCAGGTAACGATGAGATCACTGTATTCATTACAACGCCATGTTAAGTAATTGCAACTGATTTATTATGGGATTAAAATGGAGAAAATCATCCAGGTGAATCCCCATGTATCCGATGGGTTCTTAAGGCGCTTTCACACCAAAATTCAGGAACCTGGTTCCTGTTTACAAATCCCTAGGCTGCCTCGAGCTGGAACTTTTGTAGCTTTTGGCCACATTTGTGTTGCTTTCACACCGTACAACAGAACTGGGACCTTTATGCTAAATAAGCACGGGAGACGCAAAAAGTTAGTAGGTTAAACTTCACACAATTTCATACGAAGCTACACCGCCGCGACAAAACAATGGAGAATAAAAAAATTATTTTGTTGGCTATTTATTAGTTATTGAGGGATCAATTGCGTTCAAAACGGGGCACAGCCTTTTATTTATATGTTATTTTGCTTATATGACCTGTGACATATGTCTGTGGTTCTTATTAAATCTGCCTGTCAGACTGATCTTTCATTTTCCACTGAATAAAAAACAATGTCACATTATTCCGTTATTAAGCGCTGGAAGGTTTCACCGCTGCACCAGCAATATTAGACAAAAATATATTGGTTAGCGATCTATAATTTTCCAATGCAGAAATACAGAGACGCAAGCAAAAAATGTATTAATTAATTGCACATTGATGCATTAAATGTAACTGGGGTACAAAAATAATTCAATATGCTAATTTTTTGCTCCGCCATATCTCTGTTTTTCTGCACTTCTGCTTGAAAGTTAGCAATGATGTTTGTGGTCAACCAGTTAGCAAGCTATCGCTGTAGGCACCTCCCCAGTATGTGTTTGAATAAAAAGTACCGAGTCTGGAGTAGGTACTGAAAAAAGGGTTCCGGTACTGCCTGTGAGTAACTACAATCGGGCCGAGTTCCTGCGGTGTGAACACGACCAAAGTCCCTGGTTCTGGAAAAAGGTTCCGGCGGTGTGGAAGCACCTTTAGGCCCCGCAAGATCAAGGTTCACCTTAGGTTAGACACCAACTCTCATCCAAAGTCCTAAGCTGCTAAGGATTAGCCAGGCACCGCTCCGAGACCGATGGATGCCAGGTTACTTGATGGGTCTTGCTGAACAAGCTAACTATCCTCCTGCTTCATCTCCTGGCGGGACTTCAGGGGCCTCCCAACTGTCGAGAGAAGGGAGCAAGCATCCCTCAGCACCGAGTGAGCGATGGGCATCCGTATCTCCATGCTAAGCGGACCACACGCCGACCCAAGACTCTAGACTGCGGCTTAATCAGGTTACTGTTTGGCCATTAACTGAATTACAGTTCAGACGTTTGTTCTCCAGAAACCTCAGCCAGCCTCTTCATCACAAGTTTGTTCATAATAAAATGAATACTATTATTCATTTTATCCGAGAAACAGAAAGTGCCCCTCTTCTGCCACACCCCCCAGCCTGCAAAATATACCCAATCCACACCCCCGGCCAGCAAATTTGCCCTAAGCCACACCCCCAGTTGTTTAAATATGTGCTAAACCACACCCCTCCCCATTTGATCACCTGCCTCTTGAAAATAGTCTGTGCGCTGCATTGGCTAAGAGCATCTTCAAGCTGGCCATGATGTACAGTTTGGCAATATTCAAAGCGATATCCTTCAAAAACATAATGAAATGCAGGCAGGCCTATGAGCATATGCAGTCAGTTTCATTCATACAGTGATAAGAGATACCATCTGTTCCGCGCTCTGCCCATAAACTTCATAAGCACTCTTCCTGCTTTTATTATCCTGATTGCTACTCTCGCTTGTTATATTATTAATCAATACTACTGTTTTTAACCAGCAAATGAAGTGGTTACATATCGTACCCGCACCATAAAACACATACCGCATTGTAAATGAGTTACGAGACCCGTTATCTTAGCAAATATTATAGCCGTATGTGTTTTGTTTTCTAAGGACTGTTTACAAGAAACAAACGCTGGACCATGAAATGAAAACATGTCCCGTTTAGATTTTACATGTCAATTTAATTCATATTTTTATTATGAGTCATATAACTTAATAAATGATTAAATCTATGACTGACACCAAGATGGATTCTTTAAGACCATAAAAAAACACAAAAACTGTGTGTACACTATATATATATATGCATATTAATAGCGATAAGCGATAATTGGACGCTGCATGTTTCATTGGGAAAATAGCCTGCAGGCAGAAACTTATTTCTCCGATTAAGGCTGATCTAAAATGACTTCGCTTAGGGCTAGGAAGGTGCATCAAATATAGGCCTTAATTCAGTGTCAGCACACATTAAAACTCTCATGATGTGAGCACCTCGCAGACATGAATTAAGTTGACACATTTCAACACTAATAGAGCCCTTGATTTGAGATACAATCCCTAATAGCTGTAACTGTCTACAAGTCAACAGCAAAAGGCTTGGCGATGACTTTAGAAAGGGTTTGTCCTGCAAGGTCCTAGAGTCTCGCTTATAAACAGTTATCGTAAAGTTGGTCAATCGTCTGTGTCGTAGTCACCTGGGTACTTTAAGAACACACAAGCTATGGGCTGGAATGTGCAATAATCTTTCTTCAGTCTTACAGCGGCAACAACGAGCGCATTAAACATTAATGAAGGACATTAATATTCTGTAATGACTTGAAATAATGTAATTTTACTGCACGGCCCGACAGATTTTAGCACCGAAAATAAAAAAGTCCTCTTCACGGCCATCGCCGGCATGTTTTATGCCGGGAATCTTTTTCCTGCAAACACTGAATGAATTTTGAGTCTGGTTTGATGTGCCGGTTTTGAGTGAAAGAGTGCGAACACAAACAATGACTAATTAGTGCAGGGGGAGAAGCAGCCTTCAGGCAGCTGCGAGTTTGCATGATTGCTAGGAAAACATGGCTGGCACGCCAAAGGAGAACCGGGAGTGTTCTCAGCACAGGCCGACGCGCGGCAAAAATAATCCACCGGGTGCCGAATCAAAGGCTTATCAGTAATTAAGCGGAGATTTGCAGACGCTGACGGGCATCAGTCAAAGCGGAGCTTCCGCAAACACGGGCCTTAATTGGAAAACGAGGTGCAGGCGTACGCCGGCGGATCAGCCTCATCCGGAGCTCGATCGACGGATGGGGGGTAGAGGGGAGTAGAAGTGGAGGAGGAGGGAAAGAGACGGCAAAAGACAAACGAGGCGGTGACCGAGACAGGTACCTGGAAATGTCGCTCGCTCCGTCAAACCTATTTTAAAATCCCACTGCTTCACATTTCACATCCCACTGGACTCTTCAGTCCTGAAAAAGAAGGAAAAAAAGAAGTCACAAACC